TGTGTGGCGCATGTTTGTTTTTCTGGTCCGAGCTGTTGGTCAGGGTTATGATTGGTTGAATGAAGGCAAAATAAGCCCGAAACAGTACTATATCAATCTACCCGCATTCTCTGTCGTCCCTCCTTGCTGCTGTATATAGATATATACATGCCCATTACCGGCTTCGAACATTCCGAAATTCCAAAGATCAACATATGGAATTTGCTGTAATAATATTCTCTTGGACTTCGTTGAATCCCTAAACGAAACAGCATTGTACAGGCCTTAAAAGATCGAAATCCCTTTTCAACGCTATCATATGAAGAAAGGAAGGCATTAAAAAATCTCAAAACTGTTGAAAACATGGTCATTCTCCCCGCAGACAAAGGAGGCTTGATTGCGATTTTAAACAAAACAGACTACTATAAGAAGATGCTGTCACTTTTGGAAGACAGATCAACGTATAAGCCTCTTTCCACGGACCCTACGAAAGGACAGAATTCATCGATTGATAAAGTGCTGAAGCGCCTCATAGGAACGAACAAACTGCCAGGCTACATTGCAAAATCGCTGAGACAATCGGAACCAACCATTGCCAAGATCTACGGACTGCCGAAAGTTCACAAACCTGAGGTACCACTGCGACCGATAGTATCATTAATCGGTGCACCAAATTACAAACTCCCAAGTGACTATTCCACCAACTTCACCCACTTGCGAGAGATTGTGTAACTTCCATTCAGAACTCCATGGAGTTTCTAGAGAAATTGGGAGGAAGCAAAATTTCCGCGGATGAGATACTGGTCTCCTTTGATGTCGTTTCTTTATTCACTTCCATACCACTAGATTTCGCAAGACAATGCACAGATAAATTCCTAAGGTCCTATGACACGGATGTTCCTGCAGCTGCCTTACTTGAACTTATGGACCTTTGTATAGAAACCAATTTTTCGTTCTATCACCAATATTATCTACAACTAAAAGGTGCCCCAATGGGATCACCCATATCTGGCTTTCTTGCCGAGATGACAATGCAGAAAGGGAATCAATAGCTCTTCCATTAGTTAACCCTAAGTTATGGGTACGATATGTAAACGACACGTCTGTCGTCGTTAAAACGGATCAACTAGAAATCTTTCAGAACACCATCAACACAACCATTCCGGGAATTAAATTCACGATGGAAAAAGAACTTGACAATAAACTCCCATTTCTAGATGTTCTCGTACAGCGTAAGACTGACGGAACATCACACACCTCCGTTTACCGCAAAGAAACATATGCGGAAATAATTCTACACTATGAGAGCAACAGTCCGGTCTCTCACAAGCGGAGTACTGTCAAAAGTCTGATACATCGAGCAAAAACGCATTGCTATGAGGAAGAAAGCTACAAAGTTGAACTAAACTACCTGTCTGAATTATTTTCCCAGAACGGTTACCCTAGAGATTTCGTACGTCGACGCATTAGACAGCAAGAGATAAAAACAAAGGAATTAGATAGTTCCGATCAAGCGCCCAAAGCAGACACTTGGCGAGTCCTTCCTTACATCAGGAATGTGTCTGGATTTGTTGAAAGACACTTGAAGAAATACCAGATAAAAGTGGCGCACAAGCCGACGACTACTTTACGCACCCAGCTTGTACACCCTAATTGGCTATCTCGATAGAAAAGAAGTCGTCTGTAAGATTCCATGCGGTGCCTGCGATGCTGTATATTGTGGCCAGACAGGAAAGTCTGTCTCTACACGCATCCACACTGTTAAGTGGCGAGACCACTTGTCTCAAATGGCCATGCACATTCTTGATACTGGGCACACTTTCGCATGGGACAAAACTCGCATCGTCGGAGTTTGCCCATCTAAAAAAGGCCGAGAGTTTCTTGAAGCCATGCACTCCGATGAGTCATGCATCAACAGGCATATCGAGTTAGATGCCACGTACAAAAATCTTAGAGAAAAGTAGAAGAGACGAAAGCCAGCCAATCACGACGGCCACTTACTCGCGCAAACGCCAAATGAATATCGATTTGTAAAATATTTAAAATATTTAAAATTTAAAATTATTTAAAATATTCACTGTTGTTTGCACATTAAGTCAAGTATGAAGTAGGCCTGGGAAACCAGCGTCGAAAATGTACTTAATAAAGTTTTATCCTTTTCCCAAAGGATGTATCTGCTTTCAAGATATATACATGAAAAGGAGGAGGCTTTTCGGAAAATCCAGTAATGCTCGTGAATTTTTAGGCCTGTGGCAACAACCCGCCGTCAGACCAAACGAACAATGAAGAAAGTGAGATCGGCAGACTGGATCGGTTGGTGCGACAGGACAGACTAGGCCATACTCCTTTTCTGGCGCGGGGAGCCGTCGCAATTCCCCCCCCCCCCCGTAACTCAGAGCCACACCCCGCTCACGCACCGGCTGCCTCTCTGCCCTCTCTGTCCTATCGCGACCTCTGCTCAGTTCGTCTTACTGCGCGTTAGTGTTTTCATCTCTAGGATTTACGAAAGCAAGTCGATTTTCTGATGAGCATTCTCTTTTTCAGAAGAAGAAGAAGAAGAAGAAGGAGGAGGAGGAGAAGAAGAAGAAGAAGAAGAAGAAGAAGAAGAAGAAGAAGAAGAAGAAGAAGAAGAAGAAAAAGAAGCGACCACTGGAATAAGAAGTTTGTTAGGCTGAAGTTTCAGATTCTCACTCGAACTCATCCTCAGCGGCAGTCGCATTTCCCTTATATCATCTTGGAATGCACGCTACGTCGGTTATTCCATACATCTATATGTTCTGAACTTAATAACTTCCGAAATTGTTAGCTGGATTATTGTCTGGGGTTCATATACAAGAAACCGCATGGAGCATGCCGGGAGACCCACTGAGGAGCCGAGCTCCTCGCAGTTGTGTCACGTAGCGGCAGAATATCGACGAAACACGTGCCTGGACTTTTAGCTGGCACCTATGTCAGGTGTACGGTATGACCATCTGTCATATGCGTACTTATGTGTCGGAAAAAAAGGGGCGATCTCGGAAACCATAGCCGAGTTGTCCTGATGTTTCAAAAGCAGACAAGCTCCCATCGTCGGAAGTGAGTATCGTGCCGCGTCACAGCCATGTTAACACGGCGTTACTTATATGGTTTTACCTTAACATTACATAGGGAGGAGACGGATTTAGCGCTTATCGCCCGCATACGCATAGGGATCTTCTCCGTAGTCGCCGGGGCAGAGGGGGAGGGAGGCTAACTCCTGTCGATCCGCCTGTCTCACGTCGGGGGACGGCGTTTGAACGTTGGCAGCCATCATCCGCATTCGCGTTGACCATAGTTGCCGTCCTGAGTACCTGGTCCTGTTTATATTCCTCTGACCACATTTTACTCCGTTTGAAAGAGTAATGATTAATGTAGCAGTATTGATGACTGCGCCTTTGTCCGGCCCGAATTGTGGTTTAGCCACCTGCGTGTTCATCGTAGGTTCTCCCGTGTTTGGATTCACGTTTGGCCTAACTCGCGCTTGCGCATTCGTTCGTTGGGCTGCGTCCGGAGGGCTGCCGGAGCGGCGACACAACGGTTTATTGGGGTGGTCTGCGTGTGCCAGGCCTCGATTTTTTGATGATTATGCTGTCATTTCCTCTGCCCAAGAATTTTGGAGTTCTGGAAGGTGAAGGTGTGCTCAGAGTCTGCACAGCTTTCCGTCACGAGAGACAATGGGTCCATTCGCCTTATTGCCCGCATGTGTTCGATAACAGAGGGTCTGTAATCGCTTGCCGGTCTCTCCGATTTAGTTAGCTTCGCAGGAATTACACTATACCCGGCATATGACACTTGTTGTCTCACCTCGTGGTCGGGGGCCTTCGGTGCCATGGCTAGATTTGGAATAGTTGAGACCGGTCGATGGGCGGTTCCGATGGCCAAGGGTCTTAGGGAGCAGTAAACTGCCTCAGAGACGCCTTCGACGTATGGCAGTGCATGCCAGGCCATTGGCTGTTCTGTCACCCGATTTTGGTCTGGTTTAGACTACCTGCTGCGCTCTACGAAGCTATGGGGCTATCCGTTAACCATGAAGAGGCGCTGAAAGTATCGGAGTTCTGATTTTCTCTCGCCAGGCTCGCTGCAGTGTCTCTGGTCTTCTGTATAGTGTTCGTACACAGCTGCGTTTGTGACATAGCGGGTCCATACTGTGATGACTTAATATTTGGAGGGTGCTGGCGGCCTGCCTATATATATATATATATATATATATATGTAGCAGCGAGGAGGGGCGACAGAGAATGCGGGTAGATTGATACAGCACTGTTTCGGGCTTATTCTGCCTTCATTCTGCCTTCATTCAGCCAATCATAACCCTGACCACCAGCAGCTGGGACCAGAAACACAAACATGCGCACAGACGCACCTGGCGCAGTCGGTCCACCACTGAGACCTACCAGATGGGTCATAAGCACTTCATCGAACCGAAGTTCATCAGTGCCTCGCCACCTGTCATTCTCTGTCGCTGCAGATCGGGTATTTATCAATCAGGAATGGGCGCACACCGATCTATTGGCTTCACAAAGCAAACAAGCTCCGTATGTGTGGCAAAGGTCACAAACAGGCAACCAATTACCAGGCCGAAGTCGGCCAAGTCATAATAGCAGCGACAGAGAATGACAGGTGGCGAGACACTTGAGGAAACACCAGATAAAAGTGGCGCACAAGCCGACGACTACTTTACGCACCCAGCTTTTACACCCTAAGGATAGGGTTGGCTATCTCAATAAAAAAGAAGTCGTCCATAAGATCCCATGCGATGCCTGTGATGCCGTATATTGTGGCCAAACGGGAAAATGTGCCTCTACACGCATCCACGAACATCAACTTGCAGTTAAGAGGCGAGACCACTTGTCTCAAATGGCTATGCACACTCTTGATACTGGGCACAATTTCGCATGGGACAAAACTCGCATCGTCGGAGTTTGCCCATCTAAAAAAGGCCGAGAGTTTCTTGAAGCCATGCACTCCGATGAGTCATGCATCAACGGGCATGTCGAGTTAGATGCCACGTACAAGAATCTCAGAGCAAAGTGGAAGAGACGAAAGCCGATCAATACGGACTGACACACACGACGGCAGCTTACTAGCTGAGGCACCAAATGACTATTGATTTTGTAGCACATTTGAAATTTTAATTGTTTTCAGCACATTTACTCCAGTCTGACGACGACACGGGGAACCGACGTCGAAAATTTACTCAATAAAGTTTTCTCCCTTTCCCAAAGAACGTTTTTGATTTCAATATATATATGTCTATATATAGATGAGATGGAGCCGACAAAGACAAGGGAGACCGGAATGGCCATTTCTGGCTTATTAGCCGTCATCAGCCAGTCATACACAACCCCAAGTGTGGATCACTTGAGACTCGAACCCGGGATCTTTGGTCATGGAGGTTGACGCTCTACCATTGAGCCACGGGCCCGTTGTCCTTTCGGTATATATATATATATATATATATATATATCCAGGACTGTCAAGTGTTCAAGGATCCCCGGAGAGCTGCTGGCAAAAGACCTTCACAAAAGCATTTCTGTCGGCGCCAGGCGCATTGGAGATGCACGTGAAGCCGAAATGGAGCAGAATTTGACCGCGGATGCCCAAGCACTTGACTTCATCGCCCATACGGTATTCGTTACTCGCGAAGCCCCAATTACCGAGGGAAATGGGAATCTGCTACGACAGCGAATATCCTCCAGACTCATGTCTCACAGGAAACGTAAAATATCCTCAAAAACAGACTCCGGGCGGTGAAGGCCGACAAAAGCATTGTCATACTCCCAGCCGATGAAGGACGATCAACGAATTTACTGGGCAAGGAGGACTACGTCAACAAAGTCGAGGCACTTTTGGGCGATAGAACTTCCTATATCCCCCGTGAAAGTAACATGACGAAGAAGTTAATAAGCAAAACCAACGATAGCCTGGCAAGTCCTCGGAAGTCGAAAGCAATAACACAGTTTGACTGGCAGTGGATGAAACCAAATGATTCAGGGATCATGAGATTCTGCGGCCTATCTGAGTTTCAAAACCAGGAACTCCCTTACGACCGATCGTTCCTCTAAGAGGCACCCCAAGGTTTGGCCCGGCCAAGCGGCTGCTCCAGCGTCTGAAATTTCTTACTCCGGTTTCAAAAACAACCATCCACTGTGTGGAAAGATTCATTGAAAATCTGCAAGGCATTCGACTCACCGATGACCAAGTGATGGTACCTTTCAACGTGATATCTTTTTTCCCCGTCATCCCACATAATCTCGCAGTTGAAACTATACAAACCTTGTTAGGAGAACATTATAACGAGACGGACAAAAAAATAAAGATAAAGCACCATAGTGACCTCCTGAAACACCGCTTAAAGGCTTTCTTTGCCTTCAATGGAGCTGTGTATGAACAAGTCAAAGATACACCAATGGGATCGCCGTTATCCAGTTTTATTGCTGAGGCAGTGTTACAGCGACTGGAGGCACTGACTTTCAAGAACAATCGACCGCGCTTGTGGGCACGGTATGCGGATGGCACATTTGCTATCATCAATCGGGACAGAATTGTGGAATTCTTACATCTGAGCTCAATCCTCCCAGATATCCAGTTCAAAATGGAGAAAGAAAAAGATTACCAGTTGCCGTATCTCGACCTGCTGGCTCAGAGATAAGGCGATGGGGAACAGAAAACAACGGTTTACAGGAAGGTGTCGAATGCCTCATTTATTCCAAGTTATCTCAGCAACTACCTCCTTTTGCACTCACGCAACTGCGTGAGAACACTCTACCGGCATGTAGAAACGCATTGCACCGAGCCAGCCGACAAGAAGGCCGAGGTTCAGTTTCTGCGTAAACTCTTCACACTCAACAGGTGCCTCGGCAAATCACAGACGAGAAGTCCGGGTAAGAAGACCGAAGGAGTAGCCAAAACCGAAGTGCTGGCGCGCAGTGGCGTACATAATTTGTTTATCAGAGGAATTCGCTAGACTGACGAGCGCATTTGAGATTGGTGTCGCCCACAGACCTGAAGCAACAATCCGCCGGCAACGCATGCAGCCTAACGACCCGATTCCCGTCAATCAGAAATCTGGGATCATATACCGGATAGACTGCAATTGTGGTCAAGCCAATTATGTTGGCGAAACCGGCAAACAAGTACGCACGAGATTGCACGAACACGAGTTGGCTGTGAGACGGAAGGATAAACTCTCCTTGGTAGCCGCCCACGCCTCCACCCCAGGACACGGCTTCGATTTTAAGTGCGTGAGAATATTGGACCAGTCGGACGACCGGGTTGCTCGCCTGCTGCAGGAAGCATGGCAGTCAACCGAGGACTCGATTAATCGACATATCGATCTGTCAATCGCCTATCAAGCACTGCGTGAACAAATCAGCAGCGCAGCTAGGGATCACCCCCGGCAGAGGTGAGCTAAATACACGATGAGTTGTACAGTTTTTCATTCCTTGACGATGGGCTCGCGTGAGAGCTCGAAACGTCGGATAAATAAACAATTGGTTCCAGCAATCGCCTTCCCATCTTCTTCTATTCAATTACCTGGGACGCGCGTGTTCTCTATCATTCGGAATATATATACATATATACGTGAGAAGAAAGGGCGAGATCGGGAACCATGATTATATCGTCCTGATGTCTCAAAA